TGTGTCGCGCATTATGTGTAATAGGCATTTTTATGACCTTGATCCCTTGTGATAATTAGTTTCCTGCAAGAATGAGAACTTGAAAACCATGGCATCGATGTCTTCCTAGTACTAATTACGCTTTATATTTATATCCTTTGTAATCTTATATTCACAGCTCATTTTTTCATTCGATACTTTTTTTATATTTTGGTTTTGTGATCCTCAATTGGCCAATTCGAACCGCCTCTCTGTCCAATCACAAGTCCTCATCACGCCGTTACTCAGCGTCGTTCCCTGTAAACAGCTGGAAGTCGTCCAATGAGTTCTAGTTGTGCATTCTGCCAACCCTGTGTCTCCTCTCTTTGACCATTGATGTGCCGACTTATTCATCCAATCAAACCCTAAATCGATTTTCATTGGACAAAATGCAACCTCTAGACAAATGATACCTGTATAAATTCACGCTACGAACCCTAACATTGGTGTTTAAAAGTACTTCTATACATGATATTAATACCTGTTTGAATTGTATAAACCTTTATAAAATGGTAATCGTATGTTATTGAAATAGGTTGAAACCTTCAATTTCAATACATAACTCAAGCATAAAAATCGGCACATCAATGGTCGCGACGACGAGGACCGAACTTCGAAGAAGATCGGTCGAAGGACGAGGTATGAAGCGTTGAGCGAAGTAAAAACCGAAGATTATACATGTAACCGTGCCCGTCATCCGGTTACTAACCGGATGACTAGTCGACACCTCTTCAGTCCAAGGTGTCGCTTTGCACACCAACAAGTCCTCTTGCGCAACCAAGGTGTTCCCCCGACGATACATCAATGATTGGTTGCGCGTAGCTTGGTGATAGCGTAGTAGTCTTAACGCCACCAATTCATTCTCGATTCTACCATCTCCTGCGTCTTCTTCTGCGCGCTCTCTCACCTGGTAGCACTCCACGTTCGTCTAGTCGACCAACATTATGTCCTCCACCAACACCACAGCCCACCAAGCGGTCCTCGCCCTCTTGCGTCGCGGTTTTGGCGACAACGATACAAGGCATCGGTAGCACGATTGATCTGTCGGTTGCCGAAGCTACGGCCGCCCAGAAGGCATTGGAGGAACAAGTCGCCCAAATGTCTTCGCACGGGCGAAACCTTGAAGATTCTCTTCGCGTCGCTCGCGAGAAAATCGCGACCCTAGAAGACCAAGCCTCCACCATGTCGTCCCATGGTTGCACCCTCCAAGATTCTTTGCGAATCGCTCACGATGAGATCGCGCGCTTCACGCGCGCTTCACGCGCGCTTCGGAGTCGGAAACACCATCGACTTCTCGCCTGAAGTCGATCAAGCTGGATGTTGCCATATTCGGCGGAGTGGAGTCGGACAAAATCCTCCGTTGGTTTTTACAAGCCAGCACTGCTGCTGACGCTCAGCGTATCTCCGACGACGCCACCCGCGTAGCTTTCGCGATGTCGCATTTGAAGGGTCGTGCGGAAGATTGGGCGTTCTCCAAACGGTTTGACGGACCGCCACTGCTTCCCATCTTTCGCGGTCTTTGAGACCGAACTCAATGCAATGTTCCTGCCACCCAACAGCGACTTTCGTTATCGCTCGCAATATCTGGCTTGCAAGCAAGGGAAAAGCTACCTTCAAGAGTTCATCCATGATCTTCGCTTCTTGGCTGCGAACATTAACGATGAAGAGTCACTCCCGGGGCCCCTACGGGTGACCGTGTTCATGGACGGTCTCAACCAAGGCCCGGCGCGCACACAGCTGTTTCGCGCCTACCCGAACACCTTTGAAGAAGCCGTCCGAATCGCGCTTTCGGAATCATTCTCCTCCTCCTTCGCACACGCACGCGCGGCGTCCTGAGACATGGATGTCTCCATGCTCGCCCAGGCATCGGACGACCGCGCGTGTTTCAATTGCGGTCGCCCGGGACACTTCTCCCGCGTCGTCAGCCGCCCCGCCCTCACACGGTTCCTCCCGTACTGCGTCCGATACCCCTTCGCGTCGCCCTCTGAGCGTCCCACCTAACCGTTTCAATCATGAACGCCATGGTGGCTCACGTCCACCATTCCGCCCCGCTCCCAGTAGGCGCGAGGCGACCTACTGGGGACACCCTAGGTCCTTTGGAGGTGTGTGGCGTGCTGACACACTCTAAGGACCTAGCCTCGGACACAGACCTTCTTCTGTGTCGTGTTGGGCTCCAACCCAACAAAATGATTTGTTTGGAACTTGTCGTGCCTGGCTTCCCAGCCAGGCTCTCTGCTTTAATCGATTGTGGGGCGTCGAACAACTACGCCAGCCGCTCCACTCTCTCTCGCTTCAACCGCTTACCCACTTCGGATCTCTCCGACAGGGTTCGCGTCAAGATGGCCGACGGCCACACTGCGTCTCAACCACGCATAATCGTCGACGGTTTCGACTCGGTCGAAACGTTCTATGTTATCGACCTCGATGAGAGATGGGATCTCATCATCGGGATGTCCTGGCTGGAGTCCCACCAGCTATGGAGTGACCGGAAGGCCAAATCCGTGCACAAGGTTACTTGGCTCAACGCGAGCCTACCCTGGATTCGTCGGCGGGCTGCCGATCGCCTTCCCCCGTCCACCACCAATCCGCTTGGCCCTCCGCTAGAGGCGATGAGTAATGACCTCGCCTCTCCTAGCCCTGCAGCGCGCTCATTGGCCCCAGCGCCCGCGGTCCCAACGGACCCAACCACGGTTTTGCAAATTACCCCTTTCGTGCCCCCAACAGAGTCGCCCTCTGTTGTTATCGGTGAGGCTCCGTTACTGCCCCCGATAGCTGCCTCGACCTTGGCAGCCACGTTTATCGAAGAAACGTGTAACTTGCACGAACTCCCTCGGACGTCTTCCGAGATCCTGGCACTGACAGAGATGAGCCAGTCGCTCGTGGAATCTCTCCTCGCCCACGATATCGCCGCCTTGGCGATGATCACAGTCGAAGAAGAGATGGATCTCTTTTCGACCTCGACTGCAGATGACTCGGTCCTCGCGGCTCCTTTGAAGTCCCAGACGTGGGACTCCCTGCGATCCAAGCCCTATTTCGACCTCCTCCAAGAATTTGAGGATCTCTTCCCCGACGAGGTACCGTGTCGCCTCCCAGTCGACAAGGGCGTTCAACACGAGATTGACCTCGTGCCCGGCGCAAAGTATTGTGTAACGCGGCAATGGCCGCTTCCTCGCGACCAAGTCGATGCCATCGACGCATTCTTCGCGGCCCGCAAGGCGGCGGGTCACGTCCGCGAGAGCATTTCCCCTCACAGCAGCCCGACCTTCTGTGTGAAGAAGCCCGGTGGGAAATGGCGTATTGTACACGCCTTTAACAAATTGAACGTTATTATCGACGGCATGGGTCGATCCACCATTTTCTCCACCATCGACCTTCGCGATGGCTTTTACCAGATCTTGATGCGTCTATGCGACGTCCCAAAAACGGCGGTTTCTACGCCGCGTGGCATGTTATGGGAGTGGCTGGTCATGCCACAGGGTCTGTCCAACGCCCCGGCGACGTTCAATCGAATG